CATCTCACCGATCTCCAAAGAACATTAGCGCAAGGCTGGACAAGGGGGGTTGTGGCTGGGAGGGCCTGGGCATTGGCGGCCTCTAAAGAGGTAGCGCTACAATAGGAAATGATAATTTTGCAATATTCCACATTGGTCAAACCCTAAATCAGGTCTTTTCAACCAGTGGTACACATACCACCTGTGGTACTTCAGCACATGGCAGGTGGTATGCGACCGTCCTAGAGAAGTGTAGCAGGGGAGGAGAATGAGCTGAAGCAACCCAAGCCTGAGGGAGAGGCAACTGCAGCTGCAGGACTGTCAGGGCTGGGCAGAAGCCCCAGGAGCCGGCAGGGCTCCAGCTGAGTGGCTCCAGCTGATTGGCGCTTCCAGAAGCAGCAGGGAGCTGGAGATGAACTGAAGAAAAGGGGAGGAGAGGAGAGGCTATAAAAGGAGGTGGTTTTGGCAGGAAAGGGGGAAAAAAGATAACGGAAAGAGAAGGGGATGGAGAAGAAGCTGTGGAAGGAGCGCTCAGCAGGCAGGGAGGAAACAGGGACAGGGAAGAAGCAGCAGCTGTTGCTAGAAGAAAAGCTCCCCTGGTTCGTTTCTCCAGCCAGGAGAATGCAATCAGCGCTGATGAAATGAAAAGCCAGGAGATGAGCATGTCGGAAAGGAGGTGGGTTTATTTAGTTCTGGATCAGCTGGGAGCTTGATTGGGTTATCATAAGGATTTTTGTACAGATTTTACAGCATTTTGTAATTCAGAGACTCCTTTGTGTGCTTTGATTATTGAAATATTCTAGTCCAGGGCTTTTCAACCTTTTCACCCATTGTACCACTTTTAGGATATGGCAACATCTGAGTACCACCAGTCGCCTAGCAAGGTGTCAAAAACTTGATGACCAAAAAAAAACAAACTGATAAAAGTACAGGTAGTCCTCGACTTACAACAGTTCGCTTAGTGACTGTTCGAAGTTACAATGGCACTGAAAAAAGTGCCTCCCAAGGCACAGCCAAGCAAGACACTTGCCTGCGGCGCTCTTCCTCCTTTCCGAAGTTTTCATTGTTGTGAGCATTTCTGTTGAGGATTGGCAACGGGGGTGGGGTGGGGGGTGTTTGGTTTTTATTCCCCCTCCCCCATCTGCTGGGTGGTTGCAGCAGGTTTTGGTCACTTCACATGACCATCATAAATATGAATCAGTTGCCAAGCATCTGAATGTAAATCACAAGACCCTGGAGAGGCTGCAACATTCCAGCTGATCAGCGCTTCTTCTGGGCTCAGCGGAAGCGCCAGGATCAGCGCTGAGCTCCAGCTGGAGCCTGGCGCTGATCCTGGTGCTTCCACTGAGCCCTGACAGTCCCAAAGAAGCGCCGATCAGCTGGAAAGCGGCACTGATCCTGGCACCTCTGCTGAGCCCTGACAGCCCCAAAAAAGCGCTGATCCTGGTGCTTCCGCTGAGCCGTGACAGCCCTGCAGCTCCAACCATCTCTTGCTCAGGCTTGTGCGGTGCTGCCACCGGTTCAGCTCATTCCCCTCCTCTGCTACCACTTTTCTGGGATGGTTGCGTACCACTTGCCAGGTGCCAATGTACCACAGATGGTACCCGTACCACTGGTTGAAAAGCCCTGTTCTAGTCTGTTTCAAAAAGGCTAGCAATGAGTCCGAAGTGTTGACTTCCGTAGGTTTAATCCCTTTAAACAAATGTAATTAGTTTTACCCCCTTATCTTGAGTCTGTCTATGGCTTTTAGAAAGTTTTCTTTGAAGGTAAACGGTTAATTTAAGGCTAAATCTTTTCGCAATTGCCAGAGCCTTTCAATCTCAGGTTGCAACATTGTGACACGTGACATGCCTGAGGCAGCTTAAAGAGAAAAAAAAACCCTGGAGTTTATGTGTTTCTTTATTCTGGGAGGCTTTTGTGAGCCTTTCTTGCTTTGCACTTGATTCCTGTGTCTTTAAGGGTACAGAGAAGGGGTTGGGGGTGCAAAAGCAACACACTTCTTTTCCATTTAACCAGACTGAGCCACAGCAACGCGTGGCCGGGTACAGCTAGTAATAAATAAAATCTTATCCTACGCCAAAATGGACAGGTTAACTCTAGAGATTAAAAATAAAACTGAAATGGAGTATTATGAAATTTGGAAAAATTTGTACGATTGGTTAGAGATAAGGAGGATCGCTGAGATGATTATCGATTGATTAGTTAATATCGTAAGGACTTCTTATTAACACCTATATTAGGACACAACTGAAAGATATGTAAATACAACGTTGACGACTGAAAGATGGTTTACCAAAAAATTTACAGATGTTATATGTACAGTTTGTTATACTCTGTCCTGTTATAGAATGTATTTTAAGTTTCTGTTTTTCTTTCTGTAACATAAGGTAATACTAATAGCAGTGTTGTAGCCAGGGAAGTTGAATCATGTCCACTTCTGTTTTTAAATGTACATTTAATAAAATTTGAATTTGAATTTTAAAAAAAAAACAGAGGTTTTTTTTGTGAGCCTTTCTTGCTTTGCACTTGATTCCTGTGTCTTTAAGGGTACAGGGAAGGGATTGGGGGGTGCATTCTTACTACACTGTGGAAAGAGCTCAGAAGGGAGAGAGGAAGAAGGGCCGACCAGCTAGCTCAGGGCTCTTCAAATTTAGCAACCTGTGGACTTCAACTCTCAGAATTCCTCAACTAGCCATGATGGCTGAGGAATTCTGGGAGTTGAAGTCCACAAGTCTTAAAAGTGCCAAGTTTGAAGAGCCCTGAGCTAGCTGGTAGTGGTGCATATTAATAAACATGGATAAATTCATCATTCATTTATCAATGCAAAGGGAATGTAATTCAGCAAAGGAACAGTCACCGAAGAAATTAAAACTGGTACTTTTTTTACTTTTTTTCTACAGTTTGTAATATTTTATTAATTATAGAATAAAATACAAAAGCAAATAGTAGGACACAGTGGGGAGGAAAAAGGGGAGAAAAGTGAAGGGGAGAAGGGAAAAAGAACAGACTTGCTCTGTTGCAGTAGAAGAAAGCATTAACATTGAACCTCAACTTTTTACTTTTCCATAATATTATAAATTACCCATTTCTATAACAACAAATGAATCTAATCAGTAAAACCCAAAATTCCTCCTTCCTTTTTTTTAGTCATCAAGTTTTTGACACCTTGCTAAGCACTGGTGGTACTCAAATATTACCATGTCCTAAAAGTGGTACAATCTGTGAAAAGGTTGAAAAGCCCTGTCCTAAATGAATCAGAAAGATTGAGAAGCTGGAACTTGGGTAATTGGAAACAAAGCTTAAGGATATTAAGCCTTGAGAAAAGACTAACGAAAAATATCTACCGGTACATCTAAAAGGGCCTGTTTCACAGGGGGTGGGAAACCAATATTGTAATGTGTTAATCAATATCCAACTAGGTGGGATAATATGTGTATATGTGTGGGGTTTTTTCTATCTTTTTAATGTATTTTTTTCAATGTCATGTTAGGTTTTTTTTTTAATTTATTACAGTTTTGTAGTTTTAACCTTTTTTTAAAAAAAGAAAAAGAGCAAAAAAAATGATGAGCCAGACAAATAACCATTCTAATAACATTCAAAGTAGTATTTTATGAAAAACTAGCTGTACCCAGCCACGCGTTGCTGTGGCTCAGTCTGGTAAAAGCGTGGGTTGCTTTTACGTCCAACAGATGGTGCTGTTTTTCAAAAAAAGCATGTTTTTACCTGTCACAGGTGTGACATCTATATAATATAGGTATATAAAAACACGCGCGTATTCGAATGCAACGTTGTGTGAAAATTTCAAAGCAATCGGTGAAGAACTTTCGGAGATTTAAGATTTTGAACAAACGAACATTTACATTTTTATTTATATAGATGAGTAAAACTAAGATGGTATATTACTTCTTAAGTTTATAAATATATTTACTTTAAAAACTTTTTAAAAAAAACTTAAATCCAGTTTAGTGTAGTGGTTAAGGCATCAAGCTAGAAACTGGGAGACTGAATTCTAATCCTGCCTTATGCATGCAGCCAGCTGGGTGACCTTGGGCCAGTCACTCTCTCTCAGCTCTAGGAATCAGACAATGGCAAATCACTTCCAAAAAGTTGTCAAGAGAACTGCAGGGCCAGTTCAGCCACTCAGTAGCAATCAGGATTGACCCAAAAGGCACCACATACAAAAAAAAACCAACAAATTGATAAGGGGGGGGGATAGATATTTGAAGTTTATTTCATATATTTGAATGTATATTTCACTGCAAAATAGCATCATCCATATTTCATTTTGAATCTGCCTTACTTCTGTTTAGATTATTTGTACTATCAGTCCCAGTATAGGTCATTCTGATTGATAGTTGTTCTAAGGCCAAAGATCTTTTGCATTATTTGCTACTGATTAATTGTGATACTAGACCAGTGCTGGGGGCAAGATCTGGGAGTTGAAGGCCAACATCTTATAATTGCTAAAATTGAGAAACACGGTACTAAAGCTTGAACCTGGCATCTTCAGCACGCAAAACATATGTTCTACTATTATAACTAACCTGTACTGTTTTATCTGAGACTAAATGAGCCAAAATGATTATTTTTAAATATATGAAGTATATTTTAAAAAAATATAATCATTGTTATATGAATAAGTACTGTACCCTGATGATATATTAGTGAATGGAAAAAAGGATCTTCCAAAATGTAATTTAAATTATTCTAAGGAATGGAATGAGGAAGGGTTGGTGTGCACTGTATTGCAAAGAGATTGAAACATATTATTTTGGTGTTGATCAGATGTTATTTAACACAGAATAATCCATGCAAGCCCCAGGTTGACGCTTAACAAAAATAAACTGGTTTCTACAGGCAGGAAGACTTATGCTATGAAGTAATGGGTTTTTGAATAAGTTAAAGCATTTGTTTCTCATAGCACGGAGTGTGGGTATATATGATATGATATGCCTAGATCAGTACCTTTTTCAACATTACTTTTTAAAGTAAATGTGTGTTCTCTTCTTGTGCATGTTCAGATAATTGCAGTAGTCATGGATCAGTTCACTGACAGGGACATCTTCCGAGATATAGTAGATGCAGCATACAAGCGCCAGATTCCAGTTTATATGATCTTAGATGAAGAGGGCTCCATACTCTTCCTGGAGATGTGCAAATGCATGGACCTAAATGATTTCCATATTAGGGTAAGTGTATAATTACTGTGGAATAATTAATATAATCCATACCTGATTAATACTGCAGCATATTGTTCATGTTTATCTGGGACAGATTAAAAAACCATTGCCTTAACAGAGGGTTTGAATCTTCCATAATATTTTATAGATGCTGTGATTACCAAATATGATAGTTTAATACAGATAAATACAACAGTCTACAACTTTTTTAAAATCACAATTCAACCAAATCTATTGTGTAGTATCTTTTTTTTAAAAAAAATTCTCACATTGACTTTCAGATTTCCTCCTTTTGCCGTCTCTATTTTCCCTTCATTTTTTTCTCTCATCCTTTTCCTTTACTAAAAGAAAAGGAAAATTGTGATAGCGACAGTGATGTGATCTAAAATATTTCAGAGTGTAATTTATTTATAGGCCAATCACAAGGTCTTTTGGACCTCTCAGCGGCTTTTGATACCGTGGACCACGGTATCATGCTGCGACGTTTGGGTGAGTTAGGAGTGGGAGGCACTGTTATGCGGTGGTTCTCCTCCTTCCTCACCGACCGTACGCAGTCTGTATTGGCAGGGGGACAGAGGTCGACCCCAAGGCCCCTAACTTGTGGGGTCCCACAAGGGTCGGTCCTC